AAGAAAGAAGACTAGACTCGTTGATCCCTAAGTGTAACATGGAATACCTATCACTATCACCATCACAAGTCCACTGCTGTACATAAGCCTCTTTCATAGATTGGCACAAAATTCCTGGGCCACCTCCAACATTGCCACTTGAGAATTTTTCTCTCCTATCGGTTGTCGGTTCTTCGAGCTTATATGGCCGACTATTAATAAACTAAAGTGGCAATGGGTCTTTACCACTTCAGCTTACTGATCCACTGGGCTATGTAAGTTACTGATATTCTTCTTTGGATATCCTCGTTACAGATTTTGTCCTGTAGCCAAATTCCAAGTTCAGCCCTTTCCATCGCGCGCTAAGTGACTTTGTGCTTCCTTATGCCACCAGCAGTGAAGGACCATATTTCGATTCTGCGAGTCATCACTAGCTTCACTAATACTTTACAGCCAGTAATAAGAGACGCTGATGCTTATGATATGATCTATACGTTTTTATCTATCTTTCTACCAACTGTTATCATTCTAATGTGGGGTTAACGGTTGGCAATAGTTAAGTCAGCCTTCACATTTTGATTGAAAAATTAAGTGTGGTTTGTTTGAGATGCTCATTCCGTCATTTTCAAATCCCGTGAGATTTTCTAGTTGAGTGCACAGAGATTTTATGATCAGTGTAATTTTAACTGGTTTTTAAAAAAAACTACCATTTAAAGTTTAATGTATTTTGTACGCCCTAAATAAAATTAATTAAAAATAGTTACACGAGGATAAAACTTTCGACGACGTATTTGACTATAGCCATATACATTTTGAAAAATATCTTGTCTTCAATGGTGAAGAAACCTAATGTCGTCTTGCAACTATCCGATAAGTTGAGTTCTAATATTATTTTTAACAATATTCACTTTTATTAACACACTTGTAAATGATTTATAGTCTTGTTTTGCATTGTAAAGACATGCGGGTGGAGCTTGATAACTATCTTGTTTATGAGAAAAAAAAATCTATTTATAGTTCAGTATTTTATAGTACTCGTAGAAACATCCGTCAACAATTTAAGGCGATTTTAAATGAATATATTTTAATGGTTTCATGGAGTTGCTTCCATTTTTAGTACAAACAAATTTAATTGAGTTATAAGCCTCGGGAACTTTATCCGGGTAATAGCGTTATTGCGCATTTGTTTTGTAATTATAAAAGCTAGAGTACCCAGTGAAAATTTCTCATCATACAAAGACTGGAAGTAAATTGTTATAATAGTAAGATTAGTGATTCTTAGATTCGGTGAGACACCGAATAACTACACTACGATTTCTTTACTCGTGTGTCTACCTAAGATGACCCATACTCATTGTATGGATCATCTTTGTGAGAATGCTATAGGTCTACCTATTATTCATGTTACTTTACATTTGCGCCTTCAATTAATTATATTTTATATTTATATTCACTCCATGTAATGGCGGTGTAAGAATAAATCCATTAGCTCATATCAACCCGTGGGTTTCGTAAGAGGCGACAGAGAAGGAAAAAATCAGGAGATGGGCGACAGCGTCTTCCTAAAACGACTAAAAATAAATGACTGCGGTTGCCAATCCGCTTGCCAAGCGTGACAATCTATGGGGGAGGCCTATGTTCAACAATGGACTTTAATAGGCTGTAACGATAACGGTTCATTCCATTATCATTACAGCGTACCAAAAGTCTGAACAGTTAGTTTGGCTCATAGAGGAGATATTTGCCGTAGGTGCCTCACTTGGCATACGGGTTGGCAATCGAATCTTTTTTGTTATTTTAAAGATACTGCTGCCCATTTCCTATTTCATTTTTCTCTGTCGCCACTTACGACACCTACGGGGTTATATGGGTTAGTGGATATTTTTACACCGACACTACACGGTGATGGTAACAGTAACCGTTATTGAATTAAACAACAATCTACTAGATATTATTATCTGCTGTTTCTAATATATATATACCTAACTTAAAAACGGAATAAGGCGTGAATAGAACTAACAAAATATTTATACATTTTTACAACTAAGCGATATTCTCAATTAATTTTTTTAATTAATTTATTGTGTATGTATATTATATTATAATATAATATGCAAGTCATATTATCTAAAAAATATCTATTAAAATCATATATTGTTTTTATATTGCAGATAAGTCAGCAGTAGCAGCAAAAGGTTCTAGAAGACTTGAAGGTTGAAAAACCGTACAGTTCACATAAACGAAGACACTTCAAGTTCCGTTGGTTTAATATCACTTCACAGCTGTGTACCTATGATTAATCTTTAACTAAGATGGCCGACGGCGCACGGCAAGAACTGGCGGGAATAAGCGCGTACACACCTCCGCAACACAGTGAACCCGTCGATCTTTTCACCATTTTAAATTTGTACATTATTCAACGGAGAACTTGACGCAACGAACGTGTTAACCCGCTCAAGTTTTTCGCCATACTAAACGTTTTAAATAATCAAACAACGTATTCAAAACTTCAAACCCATAAAACATATCTCCCCCATTATTAGTTTATGGCCTGCGACTGTTACCAGGGCTATTATGCTGCTATTTTTGTGTGAATTCGTTGTTTATTTTGATTGTGTGCGGTGGTCGGACGGGGCAATTGGGGTGCCATCACAAAATGCCTCTATTGAGTAGTTTCTAACATTGTTTTATAAGCTTATTCAAGGTCTCTTTAGTTACGACTGTCGTAAAGGTGTTTCTTTTATTGCTTTTGCGTTACCATATTTTTTATGACATTATTTTGTAAAAATAACGGACATATTACCTGAATGTAAATTAAAAACACAGGCCATTTTAACTGTTTTAAATAATTTTTTTAATTAAATATCTAATTTAAAATTTAAGAAATTATAATATATTGCCCTATATTGAAAACCTGTTTGCGATCTTCACTCGACTCACTATTGTAATTGTAAATAATTTATAAAAGTATAATTAAAAATAATAAAAGTTTTCAATAAAAATAAATTCAAATCATACGTCAAAATTGGACAAATTCTTAAGAGCGATGAGGGCACGTAGGTAACATTGTTAATATTTATTAATACGCAAGTACATACATCCTGTGGAGTTAAATTAATTTTTGTATATGTTAAATAGTTAAAATAATTTTATAATCATATTATAATACAGACAATCTCTAAAACATTTTATAAATTGAAAATAAAGTTTTAATACCGACTCGCCTGATAAATGTTTTACGTCTTTAGTAATATGCATTAATATTAAAGGTAGAGACGACACACGCGCGAACTTACAAACTTTTACAATTTTCCATCCAAAGAATATGTTGTTATTTACTATCTTCTTTTTCCTCTTGACCAGCCTATTGGTCACTCTCATTTCAAAGAGAATCTAATCTAATCTGTATTTAATCTAATGTAACTGTGTCTAACCGCCGCGCTTGGCAGGAGAATGATACGGTATGAGAGTTTGTTTTATAGTATAGGGTGACAAACGAGCACACAGTCTACTTGATGGTAAGTGGTTGCTGTGACCCATAGACATCTACATCTATCCTCAATAAAGAATCAAAATGCAGATGCGTTGTCACCCGTGAGGACTAAGATGGAATGCCTCTTCTCCAGTAAAAAGGTTCTCTGGTTCTCTACACTCACCGTACGAAACACAGCAGTATTAAGCTGCTATTTTACGCTGGTATTCTGTGAGAGCGTGGTCCTTCACCGGTCGAGTGGACCCATTCGTGCTACAACTAAACAATTAATATAGCAGCAGCATGGCTCTACCACGTATAAAAGTATATGCATCGATCTAAGGTCACAAGATCTTCCGGGCATTTATTTCCCTGTCATTATAGTAGTATCGTCTTTCTTTTTTGCCTCTTCAACTTCATAATATAATTTGATTATATAATATTAAGTTTTTAAAACCCTGTTATAAATAACTGTTAACGTCATTTTAAAGTATAACTTTTAGCATTAAAAAATATTACATTAGTGTTTTAATTATTAATCTACCACATATAATATAAGAGATAGCAAATAATTTATGAATCGCACGCATCATCTGAGTCCACCTTTCAAATGTTGCAAGCCATCAACTAGACAGATACAGAAAGAGGAAAAATCTGTATGTAGATTTTTTTTAAAAGAAACAAATATCTTATAACATTAATATTTTATAGTAATGTAACGTTATTATACGGAAGGTTGTAGTATTACGTAAACACCGTGTTACCTATAATAACATAACAGTATAATTATGTCTATTAATTTAATTGCTCTCATTTGAATGTTTTTACCACAATATTATTTTTGTATAACACATATTCGATAATCAAGGGGTTACTAAATTATATTACCTAATAAACAAGAGGAGGGGGTTGTTATAAGTCATTATTAGAATATGATTGTCTAAAATTGATATCTAATATTCTTTTTTGGGTCGTTCAATGTATGAAATTTGAAAACATAAAATAATGAGCCTCTAAGATTACAGCACTTACCATAAAATTACACATTGTTTGTACTAAAAGTTATTTTACGAGATTATTCGTAACAACATTACGTGGTCTACCACGTGCTACAACTATACTATTAATATAGCCATGCTGCAGCTATATTAGTAGTATAGTTGTAGCACGAATGGGTCGGCTCGACCGGGGTCTCACAGAATACCAGCGTAAAATAGCAGCTTAACTCTGCTGTGTTTCGTATGGTGAATGTAGAGAACCGGAGATCCTTTTTACTGGAAAAGAGGCATTTCATCTTAGTCCTCACGGGTGACAACGCATCCGTATTTGGATGTCTATGGGTCACAGCAACCACTTACCTTCAGGTGGACTGTATGCTCGTTTGTCACATCCTAACGTATTATTTTTGAATCAATACGGCTTCTGAAATTAAAAAAATATATAAAACGGATGAAGCTAACAGCAAAGAGAAAAAAGTGAAGTAGCCTCCTGCGAGCAACTAGCTAGTGATTACAATATCTCATTTCTCTTTAATAAAGGGGCATTTAAAATGTATTGCCGCAAGCGAAATTCGGTCGCCAATTTTGGAACCTGTTTAGAAATTATAGGGTCAGCTCTTGGCATAAGGTTAGGTTAGGTTTAAACGTAACGTATAAACTGCACGTGTTGTAATCAATAACGAAGTCAGGTACTAACGGCTGACACGAATTACATATTTACATAGAGGGTTCCGTATGTGTACATATTTTTTTATAATAATTGAACCCAAACCTAACTGTTTAAATCATTCACTTGCGAATAAATGCTTATCCTTATTCCTGTCCCCGTCTTTGTTGAATATGTATAACTAGGACTACTTGTCTTTTATATATCTATAGATTTTATTGGTGCGGTAAATATTAAGTATAAAATCTTATTACCGAGACTGATATTATGAAAAGTTAATACTTGTTTTTAGTGAGCTCAATTCGAAAACCACTATACTAATGCAGTAACCTTGTTGTCCACGCGACTGCCATCAATTACAGCTCAGATATTATATTGAATATTGATTCTGATTATATGTTACAGTTTTGATGGAAACAATATACTCGCATTACATTGATAGTGTAATTATATTGACCTATTAAATATTAAAGCAGTTAAACATTCAAATAAGTGATACACTGCAGCTATCCATAACTGAAGCACGAGTAATTCGGCTCTACCGGGCTGATACAGCAGAATACAACAGCAGAATAGTACTGTATTCCATGTGGTGAGTGTAGAGTAGGTACTAGAGATTTTAAGTGGTAGTTAATTGACAACGCATCTGTATTTTAATTTGAATCGATGATAGATGCTGATATCTATGGGTCACACCATCGATACGATAGAAAGCAGGTTTTAATATAGTATAAGGAACATGAGGTTTATTGCAGCAGTCTCCTTTCTGGGTGGCTATCATCTTAATTTTAAAAGCATCGTTTGTCGGGCGCTAAACATATTATACTATCCCTACTTCCTCAATCTGTCGACGATGTGACCAAATAACGACGACGCTTTGGGTCCTTGATGGCTGAGTAATTTTGAAACAGCTTCGAGCCGGTAAAGGATGTTAGCGCTAATTTGGATTATTCAGGCAAGCGATTACGGAAGAGTTTATGCTACGGATTAGTTTCTCTCAATGTCAACATTTTTTCAACATTATTCATGAATTAATTCATTATATCCTTTAATAGTGCACAGTTCAACATAAACCGCCTCAATAGAGTGCCTCATAAGAGGGATATTTGCTATAGTTGCTACGCTTGGCAATCGGGTTGGCAACAGCAGTATTTTAATATTTTTAGTTATCAAGGAGGTGCTATTGCCCGTCTTCTGGTTCACTTCCCTCTGTCGCCTCTTACGACACCCACGAGATACCTAGTTGATTCTCTTACGTCGCCACTTTAAGTCAGTTGACAATGTCTGTCAAAAATATTTTTATAGCAACTTTATGATTACTAATTAAATCTAATTTTTTTATAGGATTGGGTGACAAACGAGCACACAGTCCACCTGGTGCTAAGTGGTTGCTGTGACCCATAGACATCTACATCTATCCTCATTAAAGAATCGAAATGCAGATGCGTTGTCACCCGTGAGGACTATGATAGAATGTCACACACAACAGTTTTAAGCTGCTATTTTACGCTGGTATTCTGTGAGAGCGTGGTTCTTCCCCGGTCGAGCCGACCCATTCGTGCTACAACTATACTACTAATATAGCTGCAGCATGGCTCTACCACGTAGAGTAATATTTTCGGTAAACAAATAAATTTTTATTTTTCGCATTATTCTTCATCACTATTTGCTGCAAACACTTGGCTAGTTTGGAAATAAAATAAGCATCGATCATAACATACAACCAGTCTGAGGAATCAATCGTATTACGGCCAAGAAATATGTCTCCAGCCATTCTCTAGCTTCATATTTAGGAACTAGTCCAGTACCTACTACAGGACAGTAATTGTACGCGGTAGAATGCATTTACTCTTCATTTACTCGGACATAAATTTTATTTTTTTAATCACATGATTATAAAAATAACAAATAAAATTTCAAATCACCTAAAATTTGTAAGACACACTTATAAAAAAACTGCGAAGTTAGTTAATTAACGTTGGATATATTACCTTATTAAAAATACAAGTAGATTTCGAAATAAAAATATTCAAACACCATTTAGCAACTCTCCAAATTATAGTCATAGATTATAAGACACGGTGTTTTACCTTCACAATGTAGCCAAATGAAAAATTCAGGGATTATTAATTTACAGTGTTGACTTTTTTAACTTAACAAATGTTTTAACAACCTTGTGTAAAAGAAACCTGGTGCATTGGTTATAACATTTTACCAAATTTAACATTAAATTACTGTTCCAACAGTGGCAAAACTCTCCAGGAGTGGACGTTAATTGGCTGATGCAGAGTTAGAAAATAATACCAGAGTCTGCTACGTTGTTTAAATGTAAAGTAAAATAAAACAAATTTAAAGGACACAAACGAGCGCACAGTCTACCTGATAGCAAGTGGAATCTGTTGCCCGTAGATACATCTATAAGCATAAAATATACAATTATGCGTAGTCAATCCCTCCAGAAACTAAAAATGCGTCGTTATCAGTAACAGGATCAGAGGTTCTCGTCACTTAGCATAAGAAACACAGCAGCAACTGCTGGTATTTCACGCTGGTATTCTGTGAGAGTGTGGTTTTTCCTCGTTCGAGTCATACCACAGATGGTAGCCACTTACCATCTTTTGGACTATAAGTTGGCATGTCACTTCAGTTTTATAAAAGGAAAATTATTATTGTTACAAATTAGCATCGGCTTCTTTCTTATTTATATTTTAGTATATAAACACTTATATTAAATCTTTTATATCTTTGGTAAATAAGAAAATACGTACCGTTTAAAAATTTTAATTATAATGGGTATATATTATGTTTCATAAAACGAAAAAAAAAACCTCTCAAATTCTTATATAAATCTGTTCAGTTTTACTTAAAAAATCATAAGTAATTTAGTAAAAAGTTACAGCCTAGGTATATATGTCATCCCACTGCTGGGTCCAGGGCTCCTCTCAGTTCTGAGAGGTAGGAGTAAAAATAAACAAATTTATGAATGTCAGAAAATAGTGTTACCCAAACTTAAGATGCATATTACTGAAAATGTTTATTAGTTAACCTGCATAACCTCATGATGTTTGGTCCAACAGTGGGATCTATAAGTCTTATATTTTAAACAACGTTATTTTAGTAGTAAATCTAGCCTTTAGGTCATTTTATTGAACAAGTAAACACAAGCTGAAGACAAGATACCGCACTTATACTGGTGGAACCTGATCACCACAGTTGCCTTGATTGGTATTCAAGTTGGGTTACAAATTTCAGATATTATTTTATTTCTAACTGGCGCCAACCTTAGGGCAAAAAAGATGTTGACTGGTGAATTATATACCCTGCTATAACTGCAGTAATTAATATATATGAAGCATAGAATAGAGACAAGTAGTAATTTCAAGCGTCTCCTTGTATGAATTATAACGGGATGTGTAATAAAAAATAGTTTATTATAAAACCATGAGTAAAACGACCCACCCGTGTACACGGTATCTTTTAGCATTATAAGTAGGTACTACACTGGTGACATTTTATTCTAGAAATTTTATTTTTTTAAATTACCTGTCAACGTATGATAAATGCTAATGATAAATGTTTGTTCATTGTATATTTACAGTAATAAGTTATTTTGAAATGTATTTTGTAATTTTAAAAAGAAAGAAGGATGCCCATTTTTCACCTGACTATGTATAGAAATGAAATAAGTCTTAAAATTCAGCTAATTGAATTCTAAATTAAATACGCGTATCACAATGTTAAAAGAAACGCAGGAAAAAATATTTTTAATATTTATTTATGCTTATTCTACGTCAAGGGTAAACTTAATACCACCATATTTTGAACGCATCTCAACTACCCTTTTCCTAAGACGTTCCATTTCACATACTTCGCATTTCGCTACTTGACTTAATTGAACTCTGTTTCTGAGTTTTAAACATTTATTTTATTTAATCAGTAAGTATTTGTCTATATTCTTATATATATATATATATATATATATATATATATATATATATATTCCATTTTATATATATTTCTTTATTACTTTTTGTAGAGTACCTACAGTCATTGAGTGCACACGAGTGAAACGGATTTTTGTGACATTTAACAGTTCTACGATTGGCATCGGCGCAGTCCTTCATTGTTGCCAAAGAGAATATAATCACTAATTGTTTGTTTTTCATTGATCATATAGAATAGAAATATGTAGGGATACACAAGACTTTTCTCAGTATAATCTCAGAGGAAGTGGTGATAAAACATTAATAAGAGATAGAAAAATTAAATATTTGGTAACGGCAAATCCTAACCTAAATAGTAACATTAATATTTTTGGGATTCATAGTGTTTAAATCGTAAAAATGACTACATAACATTATTTTCTAAACTTACAAGAAGTTTTTTTACTATACCTTATAACTATACATAAACTTTTACTATCAGGTTTTTAAATGTATGAAAAGTGGGCATGGTTCTTTTTATTCTTTATTTGAATGACTTGCAAAGGTTAATAGCAATTAGAAAGGAGATACAAAGAAATTAAAATTAATTTTTAAAAAATGTTAAAATTGAATATTAAGTTTAAATTTCCCTTAATAATATTTTAATAACATGGAATAATATAAAATACTTAATATAATAATAATAGTAATAGATACTTTAACTTTTTTTAATATTGGATAAAGCTAAAAAATCTTTTGAGTTCATTTATTTCAAAACGCCGAGTATTAGTGAGTATTCAAAAATTCAATAAAATCGATACAACTAGAAAAACAATTCATGAAATTACTCGAGAGCGAGGAGAGCGGAGCTGTGCCTGGTTACAGAATATTAAAATTGAATTAATATTGATTAAAATTCACATTATAATATTTTGATCACATGGCATATTATGAAATCGTCTGATTTATTACCTTATTATATATTCAATTTATATTTGTTAAAAGATTGAAAATAATTTTTTGACAATATTATAATGGATAATTTTTTTTTGTTAATTGGATAAAAATAAAAAAAGCATTTTGCTTTTTTGAACGGCGGAGCACCTAGTTTAGACTCTGTTCATGAAATCGCTCCACATCAAGGAGAGCGGAGCTGCGACTGGTCCTAACTTCTCATACAACCCACGTCCACGGCCTTGTATTGTTTTCGCGGGCCGCGTTGCGTGAACCTCGAGTGAAATATGGCTGACGAAGCGACTACTTATTTTAGTTTTTTTTTTTTTCGACCGCATTACTTAATTTTATCAAGTTGCATGAGTTATGAGAAGCGGGACCACACGCGCCGTGTTAATTACGGTAGTGATGTCCCCCCGACTCGTAAAGGTTAAGCGATAGTACTTTTGTATTTGGAATTCCAATACGATCTCCTTATTGGATCGATTTCTTATAATACTTCATATGGATTTGGTTGCAATAAGATAGTAGGTATTACTTGGAATATTTAAGCTCTAGAATATTTTTTATAAAATTATGTTTGGCTACTAGCTCGGCCTACTAGCTTACCTTACAATAAAGGAAAGCTTTGATTTTTATCGCTATTATATCGGGACGATATCAGCACGCTAATGCGGTTAATGTAGTCCTTCGGCCTTTATAACCATAAAACAACAGCAATATTTTGTGTGTCGATTGGTCAGATTGGGCACTCAATAATAATACGCCCAAACTAGACCGGGCCGTTGACCCGGGCGGGCGAAATGCGCGCGCGCTCCCTCGGAGGAGCGCTAAAACATCGCATCTCTGGAGTTGTTTGTCTTATAAGAATAAGAAGGATTTATTAACGTCCGATACATTTATAGTATTAATATATTCATATTATATTTATGATCACCACATTATCTATTTAAATGTTATGGTTTTATACATATATAAGAACTTATATTTTAATTAATATATAATCAATTATATTTATGTAGAATTCTAAATAAATACCTATAACCTTATACGATCGTAATGTGCTTAAAGAAATCTCTTAATTTTAAATTTGATAGTAAAGACGATAATTAAAGCAATGGGTTGCAAGCAAACCGAGCTTAAATACATGTTAGGTACCTAAATTATCAACTAATACTTAGATATAGTTATAGGGAATAAAGGGAAGAATCAAGAGATAATTCTATTTTAATTATATTTTAATTCGAACTGTGTTTATTTTTATACAAATAAACGTTTCAAAATAAGTAACTATTATTGCCATCAACTGACAGCTTTCAATATTGGGTTAAATACAATAAAAATAAAAACCAGTAGATACTTTGTACTCTCTTTCTTATTTAGTGTCCAACCTTCATCATCAATTTCTTTCATCGATTTATTTACTTTAAGATGCATAGAAACTAATAATCAAATTAACTTGCTCTCGAGGAACAGAAAATTAACTTGAAAAAGATAAGATTGTAGATTTATTATCTATCTACATTATAATGTCATCTTTTTGATTTATTATGTTGTACTAATGGTCGTTATATAATTTTCTTACGTATATATGTTTTTATTATTTAATAGTAATGAAGTAGATGTATACGAATGGTATCGATTTAACATATATCTAATTATTAAGAAAGACAGGTTGTGATAAAATAGCGTCTTTAAAAAAAACTATTGCTAAATACTACCATATTATATATAACCAATTAATTAAAATACCTACAATAATAATTAAGTATTGTCAACCAGTTTAAAATTATTGCCCTAGTGAACATTTTTAAGCATAAATTAACTTACATTAAAAAAAAACCTGGAAATATTTTAAGATATTTTATTGCAATCTATTTTCCTCCTTTTGCAGATCTTTGAAAATGTACATGCCTATATCCTATCTACTGAATGTATACATCAATCTTTTGTTAATACATAGTTCATATTGTTCAAAAGATAATAATGTTTATTTTGATGTCGGTAATAAATTACGAATGGCACTCAAATCTGTCGCACTAATATGGTGTTAACGAGGGTCGTTTGTTTTATGTGCGTTTTATTGATACTTGAGATATTATCATTTGCTACCTGACGGAATTTAACGAGTTTCTTATTAGTATCTTATAGTATATGAATGGCATCGATGGAACAGAAGTTTTGAACAGCGCCATTTTAGAGCTTTCAGTTGAGGAATCCTAAATTTTTTATATTTACATTTTTTAACCATGCCTATTATTTTTTTTTTTGATGATAGTAGACATTTTTACCTATAATTTGTTTTTTGTAAAATACATTTTCATGTGGTTGCGAAGAAAAAAAAACAATATACGGCACCTTACCAATATTATGTAATATTTTTTATAAAGTAGATCATATTCAAAGAGGAATTACGCAGGATTGTTAAATTAATTTATATAAATAACATGTATATTGGCTATTAATAACTACAATTAAAGATCAGGAGGTAGTATTATTTTTCTTTGAATTAAAAACAACTCACCTGCAATGGCCATCCAAGGGTAGAAGGTGTGGTTGGTGGGTTGATGTTGGACTGGTTGCGTACTGGCCGCGGCTCCAGGTAACGCACACTGGTTTCCCCAGGGCAAAGCCCGACCCGGACTTGATGACTCGCTATATCGGGCTTCTGGGGTGCAAGCAGCAGGTCTAACCAACGCTCCTAAACCAGCACCCCATGCCTCCTTTCCACCATAACCATTTTGTTGCTCCCCACCGGCCTTCGAACAGTCCGCTTTAGCATACTGTTGCTCCCCGGCGTATAACTTGCATGCAGCCGCCACCGAGGCGTCGTAAGGCGAATCCTGGGGCCGTGGCTGATGCAGCGCGTGGGGCTGTGCGTAAGTCAAACCAAGTGGGAAACCCCGATACTGGTCGCCACCACCGCCACCTTGGTGCACGCCGTGCGCCCCGTAGAAACCACCCTGCTCGAAATAGGAGTTCATCTTGAACAGTCACCGGCACAAACGTCACTCAGTTAGACACTTATGTCATCGCGGTCCCGCGCGCCGTGATAACTCGAATTTACTATTAATTTTATTGCCTATAAAACGTCACTTGAGCGTCATAATGGGCTTCGTCGGTGATAAAGGCGTGTGGGATGTTTACGTTTAAGGCTCGGAGAGCGCGTGCCGAGTTTTACAGGTCGTATCGCTTGCGGTCGGTCAGGGTTTCGTGATCGCCAGTCGCGAGCGAAGTTTTGGTGTCGCGAGTGTCGGGCGAGTGTCGAGAGCGACCGGCGCGTCTCGGCTCACGCAGTCTACTGTGACTCCGAGCAACACGCGCGCCGCCCCGCACGCCGCCTGCCATCGCTACGCCGACCATTGTTCCGTCCCCTTTTCGCTAATCACTATATATATTATCAGTTACGCTCTCTTTTCTATTTCTTATCACGCGAACACGTGGTAAGCTCATTATGAAATCTCTGTTTTTAAACGATCTGCCTAACATCTGAAATCTTTATCTTTTACGGAAATGCAATTAGCATAATGGATTAAACTATAAAATATGACAAACGAGTCAAGTAGCTAATCGTTTCAACAAAGTCCCATACGTAACAACCTAAAAAAAGAAATCACCGACAAAGCACAATAATGACATTCAGTAAACTTAAGCCGCAAAAGTCGTAAACTCATAAACGTACAATTAGTGAAACGGTTGAGTAAAGAAAAGATTTTACAACCGCTCTTCAGGCGGGCCACAATGAGCGCAGTATCGTAACAAGGTGCTGAATAGAGTGAGAAGTCGTAAAGATGATTATTATTTCTTCTACTACCTGTTTTTACGACTGATGTTGGCGTCGCTGTCGCTCTTACGACAAATCCGTGTTCGCGAGCGAGACGGACGTTATTTGTGAAACGCATGTAATCTTGTCCAAGCGGAGTATGTATAACTGTTCCTTTCTAACACAGTAAGGCGCGTGCAGTTTGAAGCGCACTATTGAAGGGTAAACAATGGCGCATTATCGCAACAGCACTCGGTTCGCGCGTCCAAATGAAGTCATCAAACGAATGAATGGCTCCTGGTACAGAGACACGCTCACATTTTTATTGCATACACCTCTTTAAACAAATACACGATTATAAAAAGGGCGGGATGTGTCACAGAGATGTTTTAACGTAGTCCATATTATAATCGGCCAATTTAGGGCCATAGAAGTGCCACTGAAACATATTTGCTCGCGGTTTTTTAAACAGATTAAAATAATTATATAAAGCTGTCTGTGTCTAATTATTACAAAATTTACACTCTGTCTTTAAATGGAAATGCATCACAAATTAACAAGTAATTAAAAATTTTAAAGATATTTTCTTTCTCAAAATTAATTATCCACAAATTAATTTTTTTCCGTAATAGCGGCCTTAGAAAATCCGCTACTTCATATCTCCTCGAAAGTGTCGTAAAAGGCTACAGAAGGAAGTGAAATAGGAGATGGGCAGGAGAATCTGATAACATTTTTTTAAAGAATACCTAAGGGTGACAAACGAGCACATAATCCACCTGTTGGTAAGTGGATATTATGGCCCATTGACATCATCAATCATCGATTAAGAATCAAAATGCAGATGTGTCACACGTAAGTAATTCTTAGTCTTCACTTGTTTCCACTTAAAATGGTATATCGTTCTCTACACTCACCTTACGAAACACAGCAGTACCTACCTATTAAGGTCCTTCCCCGGTAGAGCTGACTTATTTGCGCTACAACACGTATATAGAGCTATGTTAGAACTATAATATAGTTGCAAGATGGCTCTACTATACATGACATAGTTCAAATACTCAATGTAATAAAAAACTATGGTTGGCAACCTTTCGGTCAAGTGTGTCATTTATGTCAAATATCTCAATATGCCAATCTTACCAAATCTTACCAAGCCTGGCAACTATAGCAAATACGTCCCCTATGAATCAATGTATGGGAAAGGCCTAGATGATATGTTCGTTAGGTTCGGGAATAACAACGCGATATACCAGTATCAGTAGAGCATCTGTTTACCTCGGATTTAAATTCGATATTCCACAATTTTTTGAACTTATAATGTTCTTATACTGACAGTAATACTGATTATAGATATCTATTTAGTAACAAAATATTTAAAACAGTAATTTAGTATTAGTTTTTTTTTTTAGAAGACCTACAGCTAATAGAGACAAGATGAGATGTAGAGCTAAACTAAAATCGACACAATGGCGAAAAGAAAAATGTTGTAGAGTCAACGACATTTCGAAAAAATTTCTTTGACTCTACAAAATTTTAAGGTCTTTGATAACATTATAATACAATAGTTACAATACGAAATAATATTTTAAAGGGAACATATTTCCAAATAAAAATTAGAAGAGTCAATCGGTATAAAAAATACACGATTTTTTTTTAAATTGAGTGTTTACAGTTACAATTAAGTATCATTATTTCATCATTATCATCATTATTATATCTACCTACGTATGTATATGAGTACGCAAAAGATAAATTATGTGTAAGACCTATTTAGTTGAGCACTCGTTGCAGCAAGCTTATGTGCCAATAACAAGGAGAGGAGTGTTACGTTCTATTGTCGATTCGATACTTCGCTCGAATATTGACATTAGAATCACTCCTCTCGCTCCACTTTTAAGAGAAAAAGAAGGTATGCTAACGAGAGGAACTCATAGTATTCCTTGTTCGTAAGACTAATTTTCGTGCAATACTCTCGTAATATCTAGATGTGCAAGTTCCGATTGGGAGGTATATTTCGATCGTAATTTTCACTAAGCCTTTTTTTTTATAAATGAAAATAACCTCAATAAACAACTAACAGCCACTCTAGATCCATTTTGACTAAGTAATAGATATTTTCTAATTAAAGTAAGATGACAAACAAGCACACAGTTCACCTGATGGTAAATGGATCCTGTGGCCCTTACAACACTTACCTGCATCTATTATTGCTTAAGAATGAAAAGGCAAATACGTCTATAAGAATCACTATTCAGCTTTTTCACGTTGGTATTCTATGAGATTGTAGTCCTTCTATCGAGTCGACCTATTCGTGCTGAAGCCTGCCGAATAATATAGCTATAGCGTGGCTCTACCACGTATAAAATGTGTTTGTTTACTAATAAATAAAATGTTAAGTACTCCAAACAAAGGAAATGTAAATAGGTATAGAAAATGCCTGTAATTAATAGAATCTATACTGCAGGATAAAAGAGAATCAATTAGCGCCTCTTCATTAGACATTTAATCTTTTTGTTAAGAATATTTTCTATAACGTCCCAATGGACTGCAGTTACCACACCTACGAATATAATAGAACATGACCGTTTGTTATATAGAATTATGAAATTTAGTTCTTTTTATAGTTTTTTATATAATGACCAATTATTTGTGATACATTAGTTATCAAATTCTTTAGTAGGCTCGAATTTTGTAGTTTTGGTTGACAGTTTATGAGGCTCTACCACATGCGTCTGTACCTACGTAGTGAGGGCGTCCGCATTAACCTAAAAGCAAATTAAACTACTGAATTAGCTCAGAGTTTTAATTTCAAATGGGGTTAATATTGAAACAACTGTATTTAATAAAAATAATATTGTAAGTTTCCCTGTTCCTATAACGTTACATCCCATTTATCGCTTTTTCAATGTCAACTTATAAGCGTTGCATCGGTCACATAATAAAATATAAGACAGACTGGAACACCGGACAAATACAATAATATAGCCGACTAGTTTTGTTTACCGGTTTAGCTAAATTGTGTTTGGGTTGCCTTGCGCTGAAATCCAAATCTAAAACTCGCAAGTACTCCCATATCTGACAATATTTGCATCTTACGGACCAAGCCATAATATGTCAGTATATCTTCATATCTTGATAAATTATGCAATAGGAATAAATTCAAAAGCAAAAATAAATGAATAATTTTTAAGGACTTATTTTTTGTGTATGTTTGTACCAACAGGCATGCCAGTATGCAGCAACGTACTAGCATGGAAAGACAGCGATAACGAGGAATATTGCGAATTGCTTTTATCGTCGACGTTGCTTTAACCTGTGATAGCTCAGGGGATGAGCATTTCAATTATTATATATGTTTTGAATGAAAATATCTTCAAAAAATCTGTGTGTCTAAAAATTGAATTAAATATTTAAAAAAATTCGAGGACATGCGGTTTTCATCTAGGTATCTGCATTAGGGCAGCACGACGGGACATACTTTTTTTGGTTTCAAAACCCTTTAATAAATGATAGGCGACCTGTGCCTTAGTGTACCTATGTGCTGTGTGTCTACATAAAGATTACAGGTTGAATGTAACGTATATTCCAGACTTATCAATCGTAAGTCTATATGGTAAAATCTATCTTTATTTATGAATTGAACTTCAGCTTTTTGAAGATCATGGTGCTACAAAACAAACGAAACATCGGAATACCTTTATAGCTTGCTGAACAATAAAATGTTATTCGTCTTCTAATACTTTTTGTGTTTTATCTTTATAATAACACTATTTACACTTTTACATTGGCTCTGTAGTGACAGCGTAAAAATATCCACCAGCCCATATCATCCCATGGGTGTCGTAAATGACAACAGAGGTAAACTGATAGATGGATCTATCTTACTAAGTACAAATTTAGCTTTGGAACATGGGAATGGGAGGTTTTGATGTTGCTCATCATTATTACAGTCGAAAAATTAAACTATATGCTTGTACGATTTCTTGTATCGAAAATTTCGTGTTTCCTACATTTTAAGTAAAAGTTAAAGTTACAGCCTATATACGTCTCATTGCTGGGCACAGACCTCTCGTTTCTGAGAGGGTTTTAGGGCAAGGACATGTCCGCCGCGCTGCCCCAATGCGTGTTGGCGAACTTCACATGTCTTCAAAATATTTTTTTCTTATTTCTCAGACATGCAGGTTTCCTCACAATGTTTTACTTCACCGCTGACCACGTGGT